AAAAAAAAATTTATCTACACATCATTAGCAACTAGCATGCAAAAAAAAAAAGATTCAATTAATAATGTAATTGAATACAAATTTTTTTATTTTTTCGATGGAAGTAATTTATTCTTCTTAAAGTGCGGGAAAGGACCAAATATGGCAGTTATCACGTTTTGAGCCAACCATCCTGGGCCGTTGGTTTACCCATGCCGTAAGTGCTTGGGGCTTTTTATTATTATTATTTTTTTATTTTAGTTACATAATTAAAAATAATTATTTATCATCTCTTATATCACTATATTCATATGTCATATGATTTAAATTTAAAATTTTTTATTTATAACAAAATAAGATAACTATTAAATTGTTTAAGTCGTTGACGGACTTCCTAAATTGGTTATTCAAATCCCACAATAGGATACTGAAAGGAAGAATAATTTCCCTTCTCCCAAGTTTCCTAATGTTTAGAGAAACATATATAAAAGAAAGTTATAAAATTATGAACTTAGGGAAGATAATGTAACGACACATGATAGAAACAAACAAAAACAAATAAACCCCAAGTTGGATATTCAAATCCCACCTTGCTACGCCAGTTGAAATAAAAAATTCCCCTTTCGTCCCCAAATTCCCTAAAGAAACATATAAAATAAAGTTTTATTTTTGTAACATTATTATGAACTTTAGGGAAGATAATGGACCGACACATGATGAAAGCAAACGAAAATTAACACAAAAAAAAGGCATAATATAAGACAAAATCAGGGAAGAAGTGCATCCTCCATTGTCTTAGCCATGGTCTGTAGGCCAACCTCATACTTTCTCACAAAATCATCTAGTGTCCACCCTTCCACCGGGTCAACCGTGATCCTCCACTCAATCACACACCCATCTTGATCACCGTCTCCCGGATTAACCTTGATCATTGAAACATATGACTTGAACCCAATATTGCTGTCCACCATCTCATAGCTCAAGCTGCGTCCACTTTCATCAACGGATATCAGTTTCTCCTTGGACCAGCGGGTCTCGGCGGCGGCGGCCGCAGTGGCGGATGAGATTGAGAAGCCGGCACAGTACCTGATGCACCCGGGCTCCCCGTTTGCGCCGTGGATGCCGTGGCAGATGGCTAGACCGGGAAACCACTTGTGAAGGTTAAAGAAGTCCTTGAAAAGAGGCCATATTTGGTCTGCGGTGGCTCTTGTTAGCCTGGCGCAGACCTTGCCCTCCCATTTTTCTTCGGGGTTCTGCATATTCTCCATGTCTAAAACTGAGGTTTTGAGAGGCCGTGAATGTCCGCGGACCAACTCGCTAAAATATATAGGGTGCTCCTTATCTGAACCTATCTTTGAGAATTGTCCGTCGCTCACTTTTGTATGGCTAATGGCTATGGGTTCTCTTTGCTACACCCTTAATGTAAATCCTTAATTTTGAAATAATATCTCATCTACTTACCAAAAAAATGAAAAAGAGAAAGGCTGTGATTACTGATTACTATGCAATTTATAAACGGTGGCACTAAAATTAAGGTACCATTGGTTTGAGGGAAACAACATTTTTATGAGATTGTATAACCTGTATTTTTATTACACTTGTCAAAAGTGTTTTAAACGTATGTATTAATTTATATGAGAAAATAAAAAGTTAATATTAATTTCAACACTCATGTTATGTAAATGATTTTAATTAAATGATTTTAATTAAGTAATTTATTTATTGCATTATAATGGCACAAGATTAAAAAATATTGTTGATTAATAATTATTACTTTTTACTTTAAAAGTGATGAAATTGATTTTTGTTTTAATTATAGATATCATGTATTAACTTTTTATTGGTTTAATTTAAATTAAAAATAAAAATTATTTTTTAATTCAAATTTTCACATTTTTTTAAGTATTACAATTATTTCTCAATTATTACTCCTATTCTGTGCTCTTAAAAATATAAGGTAGATAAATTTTTAATAAAATTAATATCAACATTTATTTTTATAATGTATTAATGATAAAAATAATAATCAATACATTCTTAACTTTTTCTCTTTAAAGTACAAATTAAAAAGCTTTTTTGTTTATTTAGCTACCCTAAAAATTGGAGAGTATTTTTTTTTTTTTTTTAACTTCTAATATTTCATTCAGCTAAACGAGGGTAAAGGAAAGCAGGGACCTCCATTTCTCTCTATTTACTTTAAATCAAATATATTATGTTCAAAATATATAGATATATATCCTTAGAAAGACTAGGTAAATTTTTTAAAAATGACAGTTATACTGATAATATTAATATTTGTTTTAAAAAGGATGAGGAAGTGTCAAACTTGAAATTTAAATTTCATATCACTAAAAATGTCATCACCTTCTTCTTAAAGAAAAGTGTGACCAGTTTAACCACATGAGTAATTACCTAGCAAAAATTATTTGTTACCTAACTTATCAAGCAGGATACTCAGTCCCCTTCTTCTTCCCATTTTTCCAAATTAAACGGGCCTTAGAAAACAAAAAATTTAAGGTCGTGTAAGGTCCACACTCCACAGTCCATCCTTTGATGTTGGTCGGCCCAGGCCATTTAGGCCCACCATGGCCCTGACTAGGTTAGTACTTCGGAGCGGCTTGGTTTTTTTTTATTTTTTGAACAAATTTGTAAATGTTAATTCAAGCAGTTGTCCTGAGGTGGAATGCACTTATATGTGATTTAATGTCATTGGATCCGAAGGTTTAAGTGTGACTTGGTTTATTTTTAAATTCGAGAAAAGTTGAAAATAAATATGACAATTTTATAGTTTTTTTATTTAAAAAATATTAATTTTATTATTTTATAAATAAAAATATTAAATTGTTAATTTTTATATTTAAAAATATTAATTTGTAACATTTTAATTTAAAATTTATTTACTATGTTAATATTATTATCTAATTAATCATTAAATAAAAAAATTAAAAATTAAAATTCTTAAATAAAAAATTTAAAATTAATATCTACAACTATAAGTAAAAAAAATAAAAATAATATTTTTTATTTAAAAACTAATAAAATTAATATTTTTAAATAAAAAAATATAAAATTAACATTTTTTTTCACTTTTTTTTTCTTGTAAATCCCTAGTTTTAGTACAGCTTTTCACTTTGCATCAACAGCACGTGACATCTGGAATGGGACAAGGAGAACCAGTATTTTTTTTTCTGAATGTGTAAATTATTTTAAAAATTGTTGTATTAAAATAAATTATTATTTAAAAAGACATTGACATAATTTTTTATTTAAAAATTTCCTTTTTAAAAGATTAACTTAAATTTAATAATTGTTAAATTTGGTTAAATTATTACTTTTGATATTTAAAAAAAAATTAATGATAATGGTTAAATTTAAATTAATTTTTTGAAAATGAAATTTTAAGGTGACTAATTACTTCAATATTTTTTAAATAATAATTTATTTAAACACAATAATTTTAAAGGAAAATTTACACCTTTTACTTTTTGTAAACAAAATTTACAATAAAAGTGTTTTTCTAGCGAATTTTTACATAATTAAAAACTAATTATATTTTTAAGTGATTTTATTACTACGTTCCTTAATCCAATACATTTAAAGAAATTTATTTCTTTTAAATGCTGCTTCAAGAACTTAAAAATTGAATTTAATCTACAAATCGAACATTTGCTCATAATATAGATGCAACATTGGCTTTGGAAAACCAGTAACTCTTCCCCATTAATGAATGACTTAATTTTGTTAGGCATAAACTCTCACATGTTTGTCAACGCACCATGTAGGGTTTTCCTGCTCTATATTTTAAGAATACATGTTAATAGAATACATGTTAATAGTGTATTAATTATATTTTTTATTTTTAATAATTATAATAATTAATTTTATTTTTATCACTAATACTATATGAAAATTTTTAATTAAATGATTATTAAAATTAAAATTAATTTTCAATTTTTTTATACAAAATAATTATAAAAAATATAATTATTACATATTTAATTTATATCCTATGGGCATAGTTTAAAAAAAACCCATTTATGGAAAGTAGTTTTTAGCTTGTAGGGAGTCCTGATCGTGTCATTTTTTTCTCTTTTATTTCCTCTAGAGAAAACAAGTGCAATTCTGCAAAAGTCTGTGTGTGTGTGTGTTTTTAAATGTTTATTTTGTAATTCAGCCACAAAATCATTCATGTAATACCACCAAAAGCTTAATTAAGTTAAAATTATTTACTATTACTAATTTAAAAATCGTAATTTGAATTAATGCTCTAAACTCTTAAAAAAAATGGATGATTATTTCAATATATTAAAATAATATTTACCACTTATGAGTGATTAAATTAATTAAGAGTTTAAGACTTTAACTTAAATATTTTAAATTTAAATCTTTCTCAATGGGGGAATTTGAAAATTAAAAAAAAAGGTATTTTTTTATAACATATTATTAAATATACAAATAAAAAAAACCAAAAAAACATTTATGCAATTATTTACTCTCTTATTTTTTGCCTTAATTTACCTTCTTTTCTTTTTTTGAATAGAAGTCATTTCGCCTTCGCCAGACACGTTATTGTCCAGAATGTTCCAAAGCAACCTCTATAATTACCCAGAAGTTCTTCATTTGTCCAACCGATTAACTAATTTCTATTTAAAGTGATGTATGGGATAATTTAGATCTAGACAGGTGAGTGTGATACGTAATGAGATAAAAAACAAATAAATAAATAAATAAATAAATAAAATCTCTCATTATAAAACAGACGATAAGTTGTTTATCAATTAATAATGGCCAAAAAATCTAGCCAATGAGAATAATCTCAATTTTTTTTTTGATAAAGATAATAATTAATAGATTAATATTGTCAAATGTTAATAATTGAGAATTCAATTCCTAAATTTGATAAATAGTTCATCAACCTCAATAAAACGTGCGAACATCGGCTGCTCGGTGGAGTTGCTAGAATAATCTCAAATTTGATGCTGAAATTTCCGAACTTAAGACCAAGTCAACTGAGGCCATTGATACATTTTACGCATCACATTTTATTCACTAAGAATGTAAATAATTTAATAATATTTTTTTAATAAAAGTAAAAAATCTTTTTACTCACATAATATATAAATAAAATAAATTAAAAAATAAGAGAGATTACCTCTAATTTTATAATTTACAAGAAAAAATATATAATATCCAATAAAAATAAATTTAAAAAGGTATTTTTTTAACATATTACAATTACTTACAAGTTAATTAAGGATGAAGGAAAGAGTTTTATGAGGTTTAAATGTGCAATTCACAGTAAGTGAACAGTCTTAACTCAATATCTAATTTCACTGGACCAAAACAGATTGTTAGAAGTAAAAAAAGTACTGAAGAATTAAAAAAAGGGGAAAATATATTATGGGTAAGCTTTAATAATTCACACAAATTTCATTTTATTATTAGTACATCCTCTCAAGAGAAATATATCTTCGTTGGGACAAAAAAATTTATGAAAAGTAATTTCTATTTTTTATGAGAAAGAAATCTTATAAATATCATCAAAACATTAAAATGAGACATGTAAATTATAAATAATTACCTCTAAACCCTACGAAGACTCATAAAAGAACTATTAATCTAGAGTTTTAATATAACCAAATGAGTAATTTGAATTAGTGTATATTCTAAATTACTTTTAAGTCCAAAAAAACCTACACTCAAACTACTTTAAAAAAAAATTTAATCCGAATAAAAATAAATATTTCTTGACTAATCGTCTTCCTATATTTCCTCTTATAATTTTTAAAATTATAACATATTTTTTTTATCTTAATTACATAATAAAAAATAATTATA